ATATATATATATATATATATATATATATATATATATATATATATATATATATGTTTAAATAGAAAGGGGCGCAAAAATTCAGTTCGCCATGTGCGCAGCTTTATCTCCGCTTGGTCCTGAGTGTCCTTGTTACGGCCCTATGTGTCCCTGGCGCCCTCTTTGTGAGTGTGACTCTCATTTGACAAGAATGGCTAAATTCTCAATTCGATGTTTTTGAAACAAAGGGGCGAAGATAATGTTTAAATAAGACAACATTTTATTTTGCCGAAATATTGCCTCGACATCAGAGTGTATCTGAACGGTTTCCCATCTCTCCGTCACACAAACAACCTGCCAGCCCACCGATGACAAGACCGAGTCAGCAACGCCAGAGCACAGGACGCTGTCAGTGTCAATGCCACATGGAACGTACACGTCTCATCGACACCTAGGCAATGACGGCCCATTAAGGTAAATATACATTCTGTTTTGTGTAGGCACCCCACTGGTTGATTCCACGAAGCCATGGAATTGAAAGCGAACTCTCTGGTGCATATGTTATAAGTCCTGGCCAAGGTTTTTAATTGTATTTAAGACAAGAACTCTGTTGGTATTTCATAATTGTCCCAAGTATGGCATAAAACGAATTTAACAATACTACAGTATGAAATTTTATTTTCTAAGTCAGAAGTTCTCATCTTGTAGGTCCGCGACCCCTTTGGGGGGTCGAAGGACCCTCACACAGGGGTCGCCCAAAATCATCGAAAACCATTGAAAAACAAAACATATTTATGAAGTTGCAACGAAAATAATTGTATGGATTTGGGGGGGGGGGGGAGAGACACCACAGCACGAGGAAGTGTATTAAAGGGTCACGGCATTAGGAAGTGTGCGAACCACTGGTCTTAGTGCGCCTCCATGTATCTCATCCAGCACACTGCGCCGCCATATATCTCATCCAGCACACTGCGCCTCCATGAATCTCATCCAGCACACTGCGCCTCCATGTATCTCATCCAGCACACTGCGCCTCCATGTATCTCATTATATTTATGAAGTTGCAACGAAAATAATTGTATGGATTTGGGGGGGGGGGGAGAGACACCACAGCACGAGGAAGTGTATTAAAGGGTCACGGCATTAGGAAGTTTGCGAACCACTGGTCTAAGTGCGCCTCCATGTATCTCATCCAGCACACTGCGCCTCCATATATCTCATCCAGCACACTGCGCCTCCATGAATCTCATCCAGCACACTGCGCCTCCATGTATCTCATCCAGCACACTGCGCCTCCATGTATCTCATCCAGCACACTGCGCCTCCATGAATCTCATCCAGCACACTGCGCCTCCATGTATCTCATCCAGCACACTGCGCCTCCATGTATCTCATTCAGCACACTGCGCCTCCATGTATCTCATCCAGCACACTGTGCATCCATGTATCTCATCCAGCACACTACACCTCCATGTTCCCGGGGGTCTTCCTCCACGATGTCTCCCACACATCTCTCACAGCTCTCCCACACAGCTCCGACAGCTCTCCCATACATCTCTCACAGCTTCATGTTTTCACCCTGGTCACGCCATTGTATTTTCAATATATATATCACAGGCATCTGTTGATTAAAGTCTTTTATTTGTTGTAAATATTCACATTTGTAAAAACCATTGGAAACACAGTTTTATTTTATCTCGTGCGTACTCATCTGATCAATTTACTTTTTAATATATTGCCCAAATAATTGCATATATTTCAATTATACTGATCTAGAATACTAATTACTGTACAAAGACGCATCGCAAACCTTTCAAAACGTACACGTTTGTCCCTTCTAGCTTATCAAAAACAATCGTGGACAGAATGGCCGTGAGAATGCAGACCATCCTGGATGACACAACCTCATCCCCTGCCCTTGTTGGTGAAGGGGACCGCCAAAGTTGTGGATCACATTCACACGGCGCAGTCATTCAAGATCTTACAGACGATCCGACAGAGCAACCGGAGGTTTCTGAGTTTGGGCCTGGCGTGACCTTTCGACCAAGCAACAAACGTGACGACGACCAGGGGCCGGACCAAATGCACAAGGTCGCCCTCGAGTCCAAGAGTAGTCTACGATGGCGTTCTGGGGAAAATCAATTTTGTTACCTCGACAAGCGGCATAGCCGCAAAGTAGGATGGGGGGAATCCCACGACAATGGTGGCCAGGAGAGCAGGACCTCCCCAGTTCTTAGACACTATGGTCAGGAAGAGAAGCTCACCGCGGACGTGGGTCTGGTGAGCACAGAGTTCGATGACCACAGTACTACAAGCTCAGCCGTGCTCGATATTCCTAGTGATCAGTTTTGGTCGGAACCCCTCCCCGTCAGCCGTTCCCACTTATCCCGAGGCGCCGCTAAACAATCTGAGACGTCACTGACCAACGAAGCGACCGAAGAACCCCGAAACGCAGTCCCAGAAACAAACTTCCCAGGTCTAACAGTTGGCAACACGGAGTTTGAGAAATTCCCAATATTCGGGACAATGACTGGGGGTGGGAAGGAAAGACTTGGAGGGGCGCGCATTTCTAGCGGTTCGCCAGAAGAATTTGACTACGGCAACGCGTATTCTCAGC